TTCTTCAGAATTCCTCCTTAAGTGTTTCATGGAAATAATAACATAGTAACTTATTTTACATAGAATGTGCACTTATAGGTTTAACAGCATTTTCTATTGTGGCTCATCAAAACTATCCATTTTACCAGTCTAGGAACACATACATATTTACCTCTCAGATGCTGCACATTAACAGGCACATTTTAGAAAGGTGTAATGTACATCCTTCCAGATTTTGTGCCTATACTGTATGAAACACTTCTTTGAAAAGTCTTTAAGCAATAAAGAATTAGTGACATACTTCTGAACTTGGATGTACACTGAAGCACAAAATACACTTCCATACAAAATACATGCAAAAATCTCATAGTAACCCACAGAAATCTCGGCGTATGTACTTAAAAACCCATTATTTTACCAGGAAGCTTCCATGGAAACGTAATTGGCACATGGTTCCTTTAACCAGCATCTACCACAGAATAACAGTGAATCTGTATTCCTACACCATTTCCATCTCAAATAATGTGTGAACACAAACACTTTCCTGCTATTGCGTGAATAGTCAGATTATAATTCACAAGTTTAAGTGCTTGAGCTTGACCAGAGCATATTTCTGGCTTTTACAGAAATTGCAACACAAGGATACTCTTTTTTTTTTTTTAAGTTACAGAGTTCCCTATACTGTATGAAACACTTCTTTGAAAAGTCTTTAAGCAATAAAGAATTAGTGACATACTTCTGAACTTGGATGTACACTGAAGCACAAAATACACTTCCATACAAAATACATGCAAAAATCTCATAGTAACCCACAGAAATCTCGGCGTATGTACTTAAAAACCCATTATTTTACCAGGAAGCTTCCATGGAAACGTAATTGGCACATGGTTCCTTTAACCAGCATCTACCACAGAATAACAGTGAATCTGTATTCCTACACCATTTCCATCTCAAATAATGTGTGAACACAAACACTTTCCTGCTATTGCGTGAATAGTCAGATTATAATTCACAAGTTTAAGTGCTTGAGTTTGACCAGAGCATATTTCTGGCTTTTACAGAAATTGCAACACAAGGATACTCATTTTTTTTTTTTAAGTTACAGAGTTCAAAACTACTGCACAACCCAGCTCTTTCAAGTGGCAGTATTTTAAATGCCACATAACAATTTAACTCTATTAAACACATAAACACACTTACTGACAAATAGATGTGACACACCTGAGCTGTTGGTGGCCCCTCCAGCAGAGTGTTGCAAACCTCAGGTGCTGATGAAACGGGACTCACATATCACACATACAGCATTAGGAAGTATCGTAAAAGAAAATCAAGCACGACTTCAATATTCAGTCTCATGTATATGCACACCCTCAAGATCAGCCCGCTAGTGAGACACGTTTTGTTGATAGAAATGCTTGTTTGTAGAAGCAGACAAGGTTCCACCTCCCCACTCAACAAGCCAACCTGCCCAAGGACTGGCTCTTAAAGAGACAGGCTTCCCTCAATACCACCATCTCACACAGCTCAAAGAACAATCCATCATGGTAGAGTGAGTACAAGATACAGTACAGACATCACATGTTTGTTTGTTTTTCTCAAACCCTCAGCCACTTTTTTGGTATTTCACCAATGCATGACAAGTCTTGTTGTTTCAGACTGTTTTTCACAGATGGTCACATCTGATTGAGAGTGCATTGTATGCATTTTGCCGTCTTGTTATCAGAGAAGCGCCGTCTGGCAGAAACCCTAGCGAATGCTGTAGCGGTAATGGAAGGCTTTTTGCTGTTGCTGTAGCGACAGACAAGGCTCCTGATGTTGGGGGCTGATGTGCCCACACGTTCCTCTGCAGGCGATAGTGTGGAGAGGATCAGTTTTCAGCAGATTATCTCAACAATATCAGGCCTGTGGAGCATTTGAAAACAGGCATCTACATGTCCACACCACGGTGATGGGAGACTGCACTCGCAAATATATGCACACACTTGCTCGCTGCCGTACAAATATATTACTATAAATGAGGGCGTATGTAAAGACAGACATGTAGCAACCACTGGCGTTTTCTCTTTAGAAAGCTGAATCACTACTACTATCGAAGCAGAATGGGTAGACGGGTTTATCGGGCTCCTGAGGGCTTATGCTGATAGTCTGTGAGGAACAGATGAATAGGAAAGCACTCAAAGCTCATTTGTTTTGGTTGCTCGCCTCATGTTTATATTGAGATAATGGCATGCCCATTATTGCAGCCATTCAGCTTCTCGATTTTAAGCACACATTTGTATGTCTGTCCTGCTGTGGCCTGATTATGATGTTTGTGCTGCAAATGGCAGTACATTAATTAGGGTGTTCAAATCTGCTGCTCTGTCGCGAGTGCTTGCTGCTCTAGCTTTACATCATTATCCACTGCAGTCACAACAATTACGGCAATTGTGAAAATTGACTTTCATCATTTGAATATCACATGCAGTATCTGTTTTAACGTGTTCATCTCACGCTCTGAAAAACAAAGGTTCCAAAAGGGTTTTTTTGTGATGCCACAAAAGAAGCTTTCAGTAAACAGTTCTTAAAAAATATTTTTTTTCTTAGTGTGAAGAACATTTTAATTACCTAAAGAACTTTTTACTTGTCAGACTTGTGTTCCCGTTTTGTTGTTTTACTTCCCATGTGTTCCTTGTTTTCCCTCTTGTATCATTATGCCCTTATTTGGTCCTTCCTGTTTCCTGTTTTCACCCCGAACTTAGAGGGGAATCTAAGGAGGAGAAGACGGTTGGTGCTAGTCCCTAGGCTCGCTCCAGTGTCAGCACCAGCCCCAGAGCTCACTCCAGTGTCGGCTCCATCCCCAGAGCTCGGCTCCTGTTCCCGAGTTTAGCCCACGGAGGGCTCCTGTTCCCGAGCTTAGACCACGGAGGGCTCCAGTTCCTGAGTATAGCCCACGGAGAGCTCCAGTTCCCGAGTTTAGCCTACGGAGGGCTCCTGTTCCCGAGTTTAGCCCAGTGAGGGCTCCTGTCCCCGAGTTTAGCCCAGAGAAGGCTCCAGTCCCCGAGTTCAGCCCAGAGAAGGCTCCAATCCCCAAGTGTAGCACAGAAAGGGCTCTAGTTCCTATGTCCAGCCCAAGGAGAGCTCCAGTCCCCAAGTACAGGGCCACTGTTCCCGAGTTAGGCCTACGGAGGGCCTCTAAAGACGATGTTCTCCCCAATCATTTTTTTTGGGGGGGCGTGGCCGGGCCGAGTGGTGAGGCCGAGTGGCGAGGCCAAGGCCACGGAGGCTGTCCGGCCATGGCGTCCTGAGTTCCCTGTTCCGCCATGGCTCCCCGAACTCTCTGCTCCACCATGGCTTCCTAGTCTGCCTGTTCCGCCATGGCCTCCTGAGTTCCTTGCTCCAGCATGGCCTCCTGAACTGCCTGCACCGCCATGGCCTCCCAAGTTCCCTGATCTGCCATGGCTTCCTGAGTTCCCTACTCCGCCATGGCCTCCTAGTCTGACTGATTTGCCATGGCCTCCTAGTCTGCCTGCTCCGCCATGGCTCCCCGAGCTCCCGCGCCCCCCCCCCCCTCCTACCCATTGGATGTTGTGTGGCGCGCGGACGCGTCTTCGGGGAGGAGGGGAGTAATGTCAGATTTGTGTTCCCGTTTTGTTGTTTTCATTCCCATGTGTTCCTTGTTTTCCCTCTAGAATCAATATGTCCTTATTGGGTCCTTCCTGTTTCCTGTTCCTATTATGTTTATTGATCCCAGGTGTTTCTCGTCATCCCCTCGTCATGTCGTGTATTTAAAGCATTTCCTTTTCTGAGTTGGTTGTCCGGTATTGAATGTTCGTCCTAGTGCTACGTGCGTGTCTGCCTGCCCTGTGTTACCCGAAGTTGAAGATTAAAGACTGTGTTTTGAGTTACTCCAGTGTCTCCTCATCTCCTCGTTCCACCACAGTAGCCGTAGCATGACATTACTACTATAAAGAAATGTTTATGCTCTGGAAAGGTTTTATACTTTTAAAAATAAAGGCATTTTATTGGCATTGATACTTTCTACAGCCATAGAAACTTTCTATTGCACAAAAGGTTCTTTAAAGTGGAAAAAGGGTTTCACACTAAGAAAAAAAAGGCTACTCCAAAAAATGGCTTGCTCAGGTGAATAGAACAAATTACCATCACCTAAAGAGGTAAACAATTATATTTCAGTGCTTTTAAATTCGCCAAATACTTTGTGTTTGTTTGCAAAACTTTTGCGTTCACTCACAAAAGTATTGCATTTCCCCAAGAAACTTAGCATTCACTCTTAAAGTGCCCCTATTATGGATTTTTGAAAATTACCTTTCATGCAGTGTGTAAAACAGCTCCAAGTGAATGAAAACATCCTGCAAAGTTTTAAATCACCGTGTATAAAGTTATTGTCTCTCAAAAGAAAGAGTCGACTCTGAATCATTGAAACGAGTCGTTTTTAAAACGAATCCCAAACTGTTTCATGTTGACGTCTACTTGAAACATTTGCATATTGCCCGCCCACTTGTTGGTCTCTTCGCGTTCGTCTGAATGAAAATAGGTAAAAATCATAGACTGTGGTAAAAATAGCGGTTTCCCCGGTAACGCTGTACACAAAGCAGCACTGCGCTCACAAACGCTTCTTTATCAGGCATTTCAGGCAGGATGAAATGAAAATGAGACCAATCGGACCACTCACCGCAGATTAGCGTCATGCAAAGGAGGGGTTTGGAAAAATGAATCCTTGAGCGAATCATTTGGGAGTTGTTGAGCAAGTAAGGTAAAAATTACTGCATATTATAAAACAATGAAAGTATTTTTTGACCTTGCATCCATTTCAACCTGTTGTTGGGGACTTCCAAAACCAAAGTATGAACCTTTCATTACCCATAATAAGGGCACTTTAAAAATAAAAGTTCTTTATTGGCATCAGTGGTTCCATGAAGAACCTTCAACATCCATGGAGCATTTTCTTTGCACAAAAGGTTCTTTAGAATGGGTTCTTTAGAATAGTAAAATATTCTTAGTCATAAGAAAAAAGAACTGAAAAGCCCAAAATAATTCTTCTATGACATGACCAGAAAACCCCCTTTTGGAACCTTTATTTTTAAGAGTGTTTCCTCTCAGGACTTTTGTAAAGGAAAAAATATGTTTCAGTGCTTTTGTGAACAAATCCAAAGTTTGAAGGGGTTTCGATCTATCTATCTATGTTTCACTTACAGTGTCATATCATCTATTTTTTTTTAGATAGATAATCTTTTTTTCTCTCTATTCATTTGTTTATTTCTTTTACTTTCACTATGTTACTTTGTAAATTTTAAAATATGTATTTACACAGTAATAGCATTCAGAACAGAATCACAGTTCAAGATTTCAGGACTCTTCGTGCCAATTATTTACCAAAATATTTGCCCATCTGCCCCTCCACGTTGTTGTTCTGAATTGTCGTCATCATATGTCATGTTATCATCTTACTGTAAAACTTCCATTTACAAGCAACAAACACGCCACCACTTCCTCCTCCATCCCCCAACATAAAACACTTCAGAAATCCAAACTGTTCTTTTTCCTAGTTTGTTCAGAGTAATCCCAGCAAGAGTTAGATGGGAGCTGATAGTCATGGTTTTTGTTTTTCAAAAGAACAGAGAATATAAAAACCTACAGCATTGATATCAGCATTTTCTAGGGAATTAATTTGCCATAATAACAGTAATACGTCATACAATTCAAACCATTATGATGGCATCATTACACAAAACATCAGTTTTTTGGAACTATGACAATGTGCCCTAGAAAAATAGTATTTTACCGTGTTTGTGCCAACAAACAACTGTACTGGATCCCGTCCTCTGACTCATACGCTACAAAAGCATGAACAGAAGCTAAGTGGGTGTTTAACAGTCAGAGCTTAAAGCAGGGCAGCTTGAATGATATGTATATTTGTCCTTCCGAGAAAATGGACTCACACACTCAGCCAATGTTAATGCTGCACCTTTGATATCTGTGCTGTTCATATGAAGATCGGATCCACTTTAATACACTAGCATGAAGTGGAGGATAAAAGCATCTTCAAAGGACCATGTTAGATGGGCTTTAAATACAACTCATCCCTTTAACACGGCATCTATCACAGACCACTCGCATTTCAAGCAAAGTGGATGAATATCACAGTATAATCCTGGTTTGTGTGTCCGTGGTGGTCAGTGTTACTATAGCAACTGAGAGAAGATGCCTTCTGTATGTAGACAGTAGAGTGAGATTAACTAGTGGAATAGATCGCCTGCTGGAGCTTCCTTCCTATCATTTCCAACATATGGGCTTTAGTGCTTTGCATATGGCACGATTCAGATGGCAATTTAAGTCCATGAAACAAGAATGTGTTGTGACAAGTAATGCAAATCTATCTATCTATCTATCTATCTATCTATCTATCTAGATGAATCTGTCTGCCTCAGACTTGCTCTTGCTACTCTGTCCATGTGTTTTAACAGGCATTGCTCTTATATTAGACAGCTCAGTGAATGCCAGAGAAAGTAGATTATGGAGTCAGAGTTTTATTAGGAAGTGATGGTATTTATGGACTCCATTTACAATGCAGTGATGTTTCCCACACCATACAGACCAGTAAAATATATACGCCTGCAAATGTGAGCCTTACAGTGAGATGCTATACAAGGCTCCATGTGAAAAATACATTGAAACCAATAAACCGAAATTTTCATCAAGACGGACATTGGGCGCTTATTCTGGTTAGCTCAACTAATTAATTTAGAAATTGACCAGGAATAAGTAACCTCATTACAGAAACAAAGTAAGAGTTTCAATCAAGCATTAGAAAAAGAGCGCTTGTAAGGCTTTAAATAAACCTCAGTAACTCTTATATAATATCTTCAGGGCTTAAGTGTAATAATAAAAAAACATTTAGAAACACATTCCCCCATGAACGTTTTTCACCTACCCTCTCTTATAGCCTGAGCCTGGTGTTCCTTCCTGTATGAATATCAGGTTAAGTCAAGATCCACTGAGCGGCGGCTCTCTGTGTTGATCTTACTGTGGTGTTGTTTTCTGCCTATGAGATGTGTCCCCTGTCCTCAGCTAGTGTATGCTGGGTGTCTGTCTTTGAAGTTATTTCAGCATGTGTCTAAGTTGCAGACAGCATGAAGAAGGGGCTTCTTGACCTTCCCTTCACCCTAAACCTCCCTCTCGGACGGAGAACAAGGAGGCGCACGCATCCACGCACTTCACAGCCTCTCACCCTGCCCTACAGCTCTGACTCATGGGGCTACTCACACCCCTTAGGACCTCACTTAAGGCAGAGCGACAGGCACACGTTCGTATTCTGTTACCAAGCACGTTGTCCCGTCGTCGGATTGAAGCAGTGTTAAATGAAACCCTTGATAAGATAGCCTCTACTCCATTTAGGCAACCAAGAGGGCTATTTCTGCTCTGAGAGTTACATGAGAATTTGAAAGATAAGGTCTCTAATCCCTATCGTAGATGTAGAGAACTTTTTTCCACTTCTGGAACATTGAGGACATCCTTACTTGTCATCCTTCACAGGCCAAATTCAATCTATCTTGATTGTTTCCTGAAGTCTATAAGCTGAAAAATTGATTTTCCTCTCTAGAGGTGCTGTAGTTGTCTTACACCATCCAGAGTCCAGCTTAATCTTCTATAGTCCCTTGGTGCTGCAAAGTATTTCCAGCACCGGCTTCAAGGCAAAGTGTTCAAAGACTCAATTTATGAAATGGGAGCGAGCTTGGCAATTAATTTCAATCTCCAAGGCTTCTTTGTGAGGCAAGGGCAGTCCACAGTGAGAGGTTCTCTGGTCTTGACATCCAGGATTCTTTTTTTATTATGAAGACCCAAGGTCTTAGAGCCCTCCTAATCCGCTTGACATCTGACTGTGTGCTGAGCCCCAGTCCTTTTGTAAGCTCTATTTGATAAGTGGAAGCACTAACGCTAGATTGGGCGAAACCTGACACAGACTGATATGACAAGCTGGACCTACACCCAGCTGACCCACAACACCCAGGTACAGAAGTAGTCTGAAAAGAAAGTAGTAGCACTTCATTTTACAGTTGAGTTTTGCATGTACATATGAATTTAACCCTAACCCTAAACCTAATTGTAATCTAGGTTAAGTCCATGTTTTTACTCAGTATTTTCTTGGTGAAGTACACTGTAAGTGCACATATTTTAAAACAAAAAGCGCAACCAAGGACTTAAAGGAGCGTGAAGACCCTTGAGACCCACTGTCCTGTCAAGTTTATTTCCAATCTGCTTCAACACACCTGCCTGTTATTTTCAAGCAATTCTGAAGTCAAGTCACCTTTATTTCTATAGGGCTTTATACAATACAGATTGCATCAATTATGGAAATTCATCTATGGACACAATTCATATTCTGCTGTAAAGCAGCTCTAAGAGATGAGTGTCATTATTTAGCTCAAGTCAGTTCAAATCAATAACAATGTGAAGTTTATCACTTTGAAACGATGTCAAATCAGCTATAAACATTTCTACAAAAGGCGACAATGTAGTTATTGAGTTCAAATTAGTTCATTAGTCATTAGTCCAGTATTGATTTTGCAAGATGCGATTCAGCTGTTAAGCAGCTCTACAGAAGATGATAGTTCCATCATCCAGCTTAATTCAGTTAAAGTTTTGTTCTCATCTGATGGTGACCATCAGTTCGGTCATATCGATAAATTCCTGAAAGTATATTTCAAACCCCAACTAAGCAAGCCAGACGGCAATAGAGACAAGGAAACCAAACTCAATTAGGAGACAGAAATGGAGAAATAAAAACCTTGGGATAAACCAGACTCAGTTGGAAGACCAGTTCTCCTCTGGCTTAAGCGAACAAATACGGTGTGATATTGAGCAAGGTACGTCATACCAGCATTAGATGGGAGAGAAAGAGTTGTAGAAGACCTTTTTTCAGGTCAGGCTGGTTCAGGTGTGTTTGATTAGGGCTGGAGATAAACTCTGCAGGACAGTGACCTTCCAGAAGCAGGGTTGAAGACCTCTGACATAAAGTGTCCTGGATCTCTGAAGTTAGAGCTACTAAAAACAGAGGTGTCCAGTTCTGTTCCTGGAGGTCCACTATCCAGCAGAATTTAGCTCGAGCTCTATTCAAACACACCTGAACCAGTCTAATCAAGGTCATCAGGATGACTAGAAACTTCCAGGCAGGTGTTGGAAAAGTAGGAAAGTAGACCTCCAAGAGCAGGATTGGATGCCCCTGTACTGAAGTAACAAAAGTTTTCCTTTGCACTTTAAAGATATTTGTTATGTAAGAAGATCCTGCACAGATCATTAGCACCCTTCCTCCACTGTGCAACACGTTTGCGGTGAGAATTAACGTTCCATAGTTGGGATGCTCCGCTCCTGTCACTCATTTCTGGATAGGGATTGGTGCACTTATTGTGCCATGGTCAGACGACTTCTTCTTATGTCTGCATCGTGATAGGACCATGGCCCAAGGGACGTGGCCCCATTGTTGTAAGCTAATCTTGGAGCTCATTGTTACAGTACATTAACTGGAGAGGCAAGTTGGGAGATTGTGTGGTCTGGAAAGAGGGTGGCTTGGGCTAATTTTGACCAGTATGGGTGGTGACTCTGAAATAGCTGGTGGTTGAGAGGTTGCACATTTAGATGTACAGTGCAGCTGTGGGATGCCTTCGTCTCTAACTGCTAGTAATCTGTACACAATGCACGGTTGAGAGTGATCCATCAGGAGGCTAAGACCTTGATGGCTTTAGTATTGAATGACTCTCAGAAATGGTACTGAGGTGCTTCTCTAGCCACCTGGCACTAAATGCAGGCCTGTTTATGCTAGGATGAGAGTGGAGATGAACGGCCTGCACAAAGAACAGAACGCATTCCGCACTAGCGGCAGCCTTGACCCCGGAGCAGCTGAGGGAAGAGAAGAAAACAAAGGCCAGTGGGCATTTGAAACCTTGAAGTCCATAGATGACAAGAATACACACACACTTTTGTGGGGCCTGTTATGTTTGTGCCCAGCCCTTTCATGCTGCTTGTCCTGAATTCAGATGGCCTCCAAACATGCAAAGCATTGTAGTTTAGCATGTGATGCTCTCTTAAAAGTTGT